CTGTCTAAGGCTTCTCACTTGGTAATTTAGGGCCAGCAGAGTTTGAGTAGTTGGGGGTCCTGTTTTAGCATAAAATGTAAAATGCTTTGCCAAGACCTTATTGGTTTTCAATGCTCAGTTCAAGGCCAATCATCACTGAAGCCTCCCTTGACTTTTTAAGCAGAATGACCAGTCCTCCTTGGGGACCTCACTGTCCCTGGGACACAGTGCTATTGCCCATTGTGCCCCATAACACTTGATTGCACTGCAATTTGTCTGTCCGCTCCGTGAGGCTGTGACTTAGGGGAGGCTCTGGGGAGGTGTTCTATGAATGAACGAATGAGTGAGCCAAGGAATGAGCACACGAATAGGTACATACCAAGGCACAGTGTTAGGAGAGGGCAAGAGCAAAGGCTGGGAGATGGAGGCCACCTGACCCGGACGGAGTGGGCAGGGTGCCGAAGGCAGGATGGAGGCCTGGAAAGCCCCTGGCTAGAGGGCTTGCTTCGTTTTTTCCAATTTTTTAGAAGTTGTGTTAAAATACGCGTAACATAAAGTATACCACCTTAACTATTTTTAAGTATATAGTTCAGTAGTTTTAACTGCATGAATAATGTTGTCCAACCATCACCACTGTCCATCTCCATAACTCTTTTGACCTTGTAAAACTCTGTATCCATTAAACATGAACTCCCCATCCTCTTCCCAGCCCTTGGCAGCCACCACTCTACCCTCTGTCTCTGTGAACTTGACCACTTTAGGGACTTTATGTGAGTATAGCCATACAGTATTTGTCCTTTTGTGACTGGCTTATTTCACTTAGCCTGATGTTCTCAAGGTTCATGCATGTTGTAGCATGTATTAGAATTTCCTTCTTTTTTAAGGCTGAATAATATTCCTCTGTAGGTGTAGACCAGTTTTCTTGACTGTTCATCCACCAGGGACACTTGGGTTGCTCCTGTGTTTTAGCTAATCTGTGGGCTTTATTTATTTATTTATTTATTTATTTTTGAGAGGGCATCTCTCATATTTATTGATCAAATGGTTGTTAACAACAATAAAATTCTGTATAGGGGACTCAATGCACAATCATTAATCAACCCCAAGCCTAATTCTCAACAGTCTCCAATCTTCTGAAGCATAACAAACAAGTTCTTAATAGCGAATAAATTCTTACATGCTGAACAGTGCAAGGGCAGTCATATCACAGAAACTTTTGGTTTTGATCACGCATCATGAACTATAAACAATCAAGTCAGATATGATTATTCATTTGATTTTTGTACTTGATTTATATGTGAATTGTGGGCTTTCTTTTTAATCTCTTTTCTTTTGGATACAAGGAAACCTCACTCACTGGGCTAATTGTACAAGGCTGAAATTACAAGTACTTCTTTTAAGTTCCAAGGGTAGTTGACCTCAGCTAACAAAAGCCTGCCTTTTACAGGCTTTGGAGGACCTAATAAGGGACTATGGGCTCTAAATTGGGTCACCAGTTGCTTCTGTGGAAGTGATGGGTTCCAAAAGGCTGGAGAAGCAAGCTTCATTCCCAGAGCTGGCATCTGCCCTGTGATTTTGATTACAGTGTGCAAGCCTGTTTGCAGGCGCTGTGACGGTTGTGAGCAGTCAGGTGGTAGTCAGCTATACTCTAGCGCAGGTCCTTTTCAAATGGTTACAAACACTGGCTTCAGAACAGAGATTCCTGCAAAAGGTGGCTTCATCCCATTTGTCCACATATTTCTTTTTTTATCATAATTTTTCAAATTAAAAAAATTTTTTAAATTAAACAACTGACATACAACAGTGTATTAGTTTCAGGTGTACACCATAATGATTTGCTATTTGTGTACACTGTGATCACCACAGTAAGTCTAGTTAACATCCTTCACCTTACATAGTTACTAAAAAATGTTTTTTCTTGTGATGAGAACTTTTGAGATGCACTTTCTTGGCAACTTTCAAATATGCACTACAGTATTATCCACACTCTTCTTCTTTTTAAAACTTTTTATTTTGACCTAATTTCAGACCTAGAGAAAAGTTACAAGTACAAAAAATTCCCAGATCCCCTTTATGTCAAGCCCCCAAATGTTAACAGTTTAGCATATTTGCATTATCATTCTTAATCTCTCTGACATGCTCTCTCTCTCTATGTACATGCATGTACTGATTTATATGCATGTACCCATACACATGTGATTTCCTTCTAAACTGTTTCAGAGTATGGCACAGACATATGCCTCTTTACCTCTAAAGACTTCAGTGTTTAGTTGGAGAATGAATGCAAACCAAGACACAGTGCTGAGCAGAAAACAAAGAATTGTTGGGAGTAAGCTGGGGCATGGAGGAAGCCTGAAAACAGGGTCCTGAGAAAAGGCTTTGGTCCACATTTGTGGCCCCAGATGTTCAGTGAAGTTCTCTCAGGATCAGCACTGAAGGTGGGGTGCGATGGGACTGATTTAGAGGCATCTAAGAGGAGCCACTCTCCTGTGACTTACAGCCTTTTTCCCTTCCTCCTTGACCCTGTCCCCTGGGTGCCACACAGCACACTCACCCCAGGAGGGTCCAGAGAAAATGCCCCAAGTTTGGTGTTCAAACCTTAGCTCTGCCTCCTTGTATATTCTTAGACAAGTCATTTACTCCCTCTGACCTCAGTTTATGGGGCTATAAAATGGAGATGTTTTATTTAGTTGTTGTAGAGTCAATAACCATAGCAGCAGTGGGGGCATGAAAGATGTTCTAGAACTGGGTAAAGCACAAAGCAGTTGCTGGTTTTTAGTGAGAGCTCAAGGTTCCTTCCTTTTCCTTTGTTGGCTCTAGGAAGCCCTCTCTATCCTCTGGACCAGAGAAAGACCCCCACTCCACCATGTGGGAAGAACCGAGTGAGTTTCTGTCTGAGGGTGGAATAAGGGAGAAGGGGACTGCAGCCCCTGCCTCTGCTGATGGCTACCTCAAAAGAACCCACAGAGGAGCTAGCAACAAATCTGCCAGCTATACAGAAAAGCAACTGGGCAAAACTCCAGGGAGCCTGGGGCAAGGGTGGGGGGGCTCATTTGCACAACTTACTTGCAAGTAGCTGGAGGGCCACGGATTTCCCAGGGTCTCCACGGAGGGAGGTGACTTTAGGGAATAAAAGGCATTCAAGTTAAGCCTGTCTTTACAGTTTGACCATCTATAAAATGAGGATGCTCATGAGAGCCACTAAGGGAGAACTTTGAGGGGATTGAAATGAGTCAAGGACATAAAACCCTCAGAACTGGAGGAGGAAAGAGCTCTGTGGGGAAGGGCAGGGACCCCCCTCATTCGTGTCCCTTGGAGTGCTAGTACAGGGGCTGACACATAGTAGGGCTGAACTGCTTGCTTGGCAAACTCTCCCAGGTAGGATGTGGGTCTTCAACCAAACTTCTAGAAACTTCTTTGGGGACTGGGGCTCTGGGGACAATCTCCAGCTTTGAGGAACGTAATTGGGACTGCAGTGCCTTCTGGTGGCCACTGTGAGCATCTGCAGTCATGATCCTGGTCAGCGGAAGCGGGGCCCCACACTTCAGGTAGGACCCAAGGAACCCTCCCAGTGGATGAACAGAGCAGCCCAGGATCCTGTGGCTCCAACTCAGTCTTGGCTGCTCATAGGGGTTGTGCCTCCTCCATAACCCCTTCTTCCCTAGCCCCTGGCAGGGATTTGGGCAATACTTGTTGAACTGAGGAAACAGGCCAAAAGTTTTGTCCAGGGCCATGTTTGGTTCTTCATGCCCTGTCCTGTGGTTAGCCCTTTTCTTTGAGCTCCCTCACATGGCAAGGCTGGCTCCCGCCCCCATGCCACAGCCACCCCATACGGCAGTGTGGGCTGAGGGAATGAGGCCCTCCTCAGTCTGCAGCCCAGCCCTGTGGCCTGGGTCCCTTTCTCCAGGAACCCTGTCACTCTCAGCAGAACATACAGAGGTTCCCCAGTGCTGCCAAAGGCAGAAGGAACCCAGGCCCGGCTGAGGATGCAGCCATGTGTCAGGCCCTGCACTGAGCTGCTCACAGTCTAGTGGGTGGAAGGCCTGGAAGGAGCACTCCAAAGCAGGGAATTCAGTGCTTCAGAGGTGAGCCCAGCCCTGGAGTCAGGGAGGGGTTGCCCTTGCACTGAACCTTGGAAGCCCAGTAGAAGAATTCACAAAAGAAGAAACCCAACAAATACAGAACTTAACTTCACTAGTAATGACAACAAAAAGCTGTAAATTCAAACAAGATTCCCTTTCACCATCACACTGGCAAAGATTTTTAAAACACTATAATGCATGGTACTGGCCCTGAAACAAGTGGCCCACTGCTGGCAGCTGAGGAAATTGTCACGTTTCTGGAAGACAGTTGGCTGTGTTTATTGGAGGCCTTCAAATGTGAATATGATCTAATTGAGTATTTCTAATTCTTGGAGCTTCTTCTAAGGGAATCATCATGAACATATTGAGGGATTTAACTACAAGAATGTTTATCACAGGCCTGTTATAATTTCCAACAATCAGAAACCTGTGTGCCCAACAATAGAAGATAGTTTGACCATGCAGTAGAATACTATGAAGCCATTAAAAATGATGTGCTAGAAGAATATAGAACAGCATGGAAAGATGCACAGGATAGAGTGTTTAGAGTGTTAGGTTTAAAAAAAAAACTTTTTATCAAAAAAATGTGTCCCCTTGTGCATGTGCTACAGTTTCTTCTCTCGCTTTGTCTTGATTTCTTTTTATTTTCCATGTAGAACATAGACACTATGTGTAATGAGAAAAAAAAACCCCAAAAGTTCCAGGGAAAGGTATACAGGTGATAGTGGCAGTTAGCGGGGTGAATGAAGGGATGAGGAGATACAGTTAGGAGGCAGGGCACACACAGAAACGCGGAAGCCTGCGGCTGCCCGGGCAGCGCACAAGGGGGTGCGAGCAGGTCTGTGGGTGGGAAGCGAGCAGAGAGGCAGGTGTGGGTAGAGGTAAGTCTACAAGATGGGTGGGGCCATGCCTGCCTGGGGAACCCTGGATGCAGCGGGAAGCCTGGTTTGTGAACCTGGCAGATTTAGCAAAAAACTAACAACATAGCCAGGGAGTTCAGTGGCATTTGAATTTCAAACAGTGGATAATTTTTAGCATAAGTATTTCCCATGCAGTATTTGGGACTATACTACAAAGTTATTCACAGTCTCTCTGAAATTCTGATGTGACTGAGCACCATGTATTTTATTTTTATCTGGTGATCCTAGTGAGGCCTCTGGGAGCCAGTGTAAGCCTTTAGAGGGGGTCACAGAGTGAGCAGATGTGGGTGTCTTAGACACCCTCTCTGGAGGTATTTGAGGGTAGTGAGCCTGAAGGCAGAAGAACCTACCAGGTCTGAACTTTAACTCCGAGCTTTGGAGTATCCAAAAGGCCTCAGAGTCACAGGATGCCCAGTTCATTAGAATTGTGGCCAACCCCCACGGCAAAGGAGGTTTTTCTCTGAGACTTCCCTACCCTTCCTCAACCCGCCTCCAAGTGGTGCTTATCTCCTGCCTCCCAAAAGTGCACAGCAGAGTCCAGCACCCTACCAAAGCATGCATCATCAGGATTCTAATTACTGCTTTCAAAGTGTTTTAAATAATAAAGGTAATTCATGTTCAGGATAGGACAAATAGAAAATTAATTCAGACCAGAAAAAAAGGAATAAAATCAATCCATATTCCCATATTCCCACCTCAAGCTTCTGATATTTTCCAAGGACAGATACACCACCCCTGCTTTTTTTCAAGATGAGATTTACTTGATAGAACATGAACATCTTTCCAGGTACCAAAATACTATTCTGTAACATTAGTTTCATACATTTGTTCCCAAATGTTTACTGAACACCTACTATGTGCCAGCCACACTACTAGGCATTAGACAATCGGGATAAACAAAACAAATACATTCCAACATATTCTATTTTGTGGAAGGGAGAGAGAGAGACAATAAACAGAAGAGGAACATGACAAAATATATAACAATATATGTTAAATGCTAAGAAAGAAACAGTCTACAGAATAAAGAATATCAGGGAAGATCTTCCATTTATGGAAATATTATCCTTTATTTAACCCATCTCCTCTTACTAGATCTTTTTGTTATTTTCAGTTTTTCTAGATAATAATGCTCTCATGAACTTTCTCTCTAGCTAATTCTTTGTGTCCAACCATAATTATTTCTTTGGGATAAATTTCTAGAAATGGTATTTCTGGGTGAAGACATACAAATTCTTACTTTCTTAGTTTATCTTCAGTATATTTAGACACAGTTTTGTGTTTCCTCTATAGTTTACATTTATTTTTAAAAGAGCATGCTGTAAAATTTAAATTTAGGGGGATGGATAGTTTTATGCATTTTAATGCACTCGTGGTATAGATTCATGTGCTCACCACCAAAATTGGGACACAGGAGAGTCCCACACTCCCTCTATGGTCAAGCCCTCTCCTCCCCCTCCCTCTGCACCAGCAATCTGTTTTCTGTCCCCATACTGTTGTTGTCTTTCTCAGAATATCACAGGGTAAATAAGCAGAGTCACACGCCATGTCAGTGTGAGACTGGCTTCTTGTACAGACCATACGCTGCTTTTGAGAGCTCGCCGTGTCATGGCTTGTGTGAGTAGTCCCTTTCCTTTATCTCCGGGTGGCACCCTGGCTGCATGGCCGTGTTGGCTAACCCACTCACCTGTCACAGGACATTCGGGTTGTTTCCAGTTTGGGACAATTATGAACAAAGCTGCTAGAAATGTTTGCATGCAGGTTTGGTGTTTTTTCTCCCTGAAGAGAAGTGTGTTTCTTTAGGGTGAATGCCTGGCACCGGGATTGCCGGGTCCCGCAGCGAGCCTCTGTTGGATTGCATGGCCTCACCGCAGTGTTTTCCCACTGCAGTGTGTGACAGGGCCCATTGCTCCACATCCTCAGCACGGCTTGGCATCGTCAGGCTTTTTATTTCCAATTATTTAACTTCCATTCTGACAGGTGTGTAGTGATAGCTCACTGGGCTTTTAGTTTGCATTTCCACACTGGATAATGTCGGTATTTGCCACCTGTATATCTTCTTGGATGAAGTGTCTGTTCAAATATCTTGCCCACTTTTTTTTTTTTTTAACATTACCGTTAACTAAACTCCAGATCTTATTCAGATGTCACTAGCGTTTCCCAAATGTCCTGTTACTGTTTCAGGACCCAATCCAGCATGCCACAGTACATTTCGTCCTCATGTCCCTTTAGCCTCCTGGTCTGTGGCAGTTTCTCAGATGTCCTTTGTTTGAGAAGCATTTTTAGGGCTTCAGTTGGTGTTCATCGGTGAGTCGGGGCACCTACATCACCTTGAGAGCGGCTGGCCCAGCACCTGTGCTTCCATCCCCAACTCTTCTCTGCAGATTGGCAGCTACTTGAGGGCAGAGACCCTGTCTGTCTGTCTTTACTCAGTACACACAGATGGACCACATGCATGTTTGCTGAAATGTCACCCCAGTTGCTGCTGCCCCTTCGGCATTATTTATTGGGCCTGGAGCTAAATTCCAGGCTGAGCTTTGGAAGCCCAGTGGCAGATGAGGTGGGCTGGGGACATGATCAATGGCTAACCTTTAACCTCCACCCTGCCCCCACTCGACTGTTTGGACAGCAGTGGGTTTAGTCAGTGTCCTTTAAATAGCATGAAAGGGCCTCATGCTGGCCTGTTTTGTTTAAGGAGATTACATCGGCACTGTGCACTCTGCCACAGGGTGTGTGAGGCCGGCTCACCCGAGAACAGAGTGAGCGGCATGTCCCCAACAAAGCAGATGTTTGGAAGAAAAATAGATGTAATCAAAACCATGGAGGATAAAATTACTCAGACCCCTTAGATACACTCCACATGCATGGGCCTATGCACAACACACACACATACCACCCATGTCCCTACTCACCCAGGAGTGTCTGCAGGGTCATGCTCTCTCTCTCTCTCTCTCTCTCTCTCTCTCACACACACACACACACACACACACACACACACACACACACACCACTTGCGCGCCTGCACTTAGACACACAAGCATACACACCCCACAGAGCCATCCACAGGCAATGGCACATGTGGTCCCCACACCTGTCCACAACTGCAGGCTTGTGCCACATGCTCAAGGGGCACAGCGGTGCACACAGAAGGAATATGCACAATGAGGCCTCCAGCACTCTCCCACCAAATGTCTTCAGAAGTTATTTTCTCTTTAAATCAGTCATTTAAAAGGCTCACAGTCACCTTTGAAAATGTCTCTAGGGCTTTCATGTCCCAAAAAGGTTAGACTAGATTAGAATAATGCTATTGGGTTGAACCAGAATAAATGACCAGAGGTAAAGGGAATGAAGAAAGGTTTCCCATTCCTTGCATTTCTCAAAATGCAACAGTCAGGGCTGTCCAGCAGCAGATCAGTGACTCCTGGGAGAGGTGCAGGCCTCCTCCTTGGCGGGGGTCAGGCAGAGGTTGAAGGGCCTTCTGTAGCTTCTGATTAAGAATATGACCTTGAACTGAATGCTTCCACTTCAACAAAAGTTGTCAATGAGAAATATTTACTTAGGTTTGTGTGAAGGGCGTGTGATTCCATCACAGCCACTGTTGCTTACGTCCCTTCTCCGAGGCAGGCGTTGATGGCTCCTGATGTCTCATGTGTGCACATTACTTGATTCCTCTGGGTAGCTGGTGGTTTATTTGCAGATCAAGACATTCCTCTGGGCCACTGCAGGTCAGGACTACATTGCCTTGGGCCCCACAGCCTGAGACAAAGCCCTCCCAGGGCTCCCTTCCCCCTCTATGGGAGGTGTCAGCATAGCCCAGTCCTGAGTCCATTTGGGAGCTGGCCCAGGGAGGGTGGGGGGAAGTTGGAACCACAGGCAAGTGGCGTGGACCAGGGACTCTGTGGCCACCCAGGCTCACACTAGCGCTGGGTGCCACTGGCCTAGAGAGGCCAGCCTTGAGGCTGGGCAAGCCCGGAGCCTCTCCACGGCCTTTTCTCTGCCATGGTGTGGGAGTCCAGTGGGTGCAGGGCTGGTTCCCAGCAGACCGTGGACTGAGTTTACTGGACACTGAAATTCTAGACCCCCGCTCTGAATCCTATCTCTTTGCTTCTTCTGCCTCCCTGCCCATCTGTGTCCCCCCTCTTGTGCCCTTCATGGAGAATCTTCCAGTGTGTGTCTTGGCCTTCCATGCCCTCTCCCTCAGTGACCTCAGCCCCTCCCCCGACTGCAGCTATCAGCTGTTAATGGTGGCATTATTTACCACATGCCTCTTCTTCACATATCTGATCCACCTCTCTCCTCATTATCAAGCAGAATTCATTTATTTGTTCAACAAATATTTCCTGCATGTACAGGATGGGGTGCTGGCACACAAAGGTAGTGGCACAAAGTGAGAGCTCAGCAGTGTTTGTGAGAACTTTTTCACTTTTTCTTTAGCAACTTCTTATACCTGCCCTGTCCTGGGCTAAGCCCTGGACTAAGAAGGGACAAATGATATGAGGTCCCAAACCTCAGAGAACTAACATTCTATGGGAGGAGATGGACATTCAGGGCTTGATTATATACTACCCAGAAACACGGGCAGTAGTTGGAGAGGCTGAGCAGGGGACAAAGGGGTCTATAAGCTTGTCACAGGCCTGGAGGGCTGCCTGGAGGAGCTGGTGCTTGACTATATCTTGGCAGTGGCCAGATGGAAAGAAGGGATATCTCAGGCAGTGACCAGAGGTAGGGGTGAGGTGGACCTAGAGGTCAGTGCTATCTTTTGGAAGTTTAGCCTGAGTTGCAGGCCTCCTGCTTCCAGTGGCTGTCTTACTGAGGAGGGTACTGGCCCACACCCAGGCCACAGGCCCCTGCTGATTCTCCACCTGGCCCATCAGGATCATCTAGTTGGAAAGCAACATGCTGGCTTTGCCCAGGACCCAGCACCACCAGCCATCCCATCCCTGTCACCTACCTGGCCCATAACAGGCTTGTAAAACTTGAGGCCCCTGAAAAACAGGTGGGAGCTGCAACCACTTATGGAACAGAATGGAAGACTCAGAGAGGTGGAGCAGCTGTCTGCAAACTCTTTGGGGCTGTCCTGGGGAAGGGCCCTGAGGGTTAGAACCAGGAGTGGGGGCCAGACCTGCAGGAAAGGGACATAGGCTGCACCCAAGGCTGAATGGACCTGCTGTCCTGGGGGCAGTGGGCAGTCAGTCCCCAGAGCCTGAATGATGGTCCTTGCTGGAGAGGCTGCAGGTGGAAGGAGGTGGACATAGATGCCCCTGCAGCTGGATCTTTGGACTCAGTACCAGAAAGTCTTGACTTGTTATTCTGACCAGTTTGGTGGGCCACAGAACCTGGGGGAATTTTCCTTTGTTATCTAAATTAGAGACACAGTCACAGGGTTTAAAGCAAGATGACCATTAATGAAGGTTGAGATTAGAAGGCTATCTTCCCTCTTCTTGGAGGAGCCAGAAGCATCCGTTTGCTAGAATTCCTTCTATCTCTGTGCCTTCGCGACTAGCTGACATTTGAGCACAGACATGCCCCCATCATTCTCTCCTCTCCTTCCCACCCGACACCCTAAGGGAAGGTCCCAGTGGTCATTAAGGCAGGAGGGTTGATCTGAGGCAGTGACACCACCCTTACTGGCTCTCACCATTCCAGACTCCCAGGTGCAGAAGAGACTCTGTGACATGAAATAATCACTTTAAGTTATGGGCAGACCATGGGGGAGCTGCACACGACAGCTCTTGGTCTGGCGCTCTTGGCACACACTGCGCCGCCTCCCTTTCCTCCCCCACTGCTTAGGCTCAGTGGGTGGCTGGAGGTAGGTAAATACTGGACTCCTACTTCTCACCATGAAGATACCTTGTTCTGCTGCCTCCCCATGGGCTCAGCCTAGAACCAGCTCAGTGCTGAGCAGCTTCTCTCAGGGGCCACATCCTCCCTCCCTCGTCTTCAGAGGCTGGTCCTTCTGCCCCCAGGAGGAGCAAGCAGGACCCCCTGATTGCTGTGAGGCCCCAGGATTCTTCTATCCCTACCTCTCTTCCTGGAAAGAGGTCCCAAGACCATGGAGTAGAAGTAGGGGGCTGACCCAGAAGGTAGAGGCCATACTCTGTCACAGATGAGTACACATTCTGTGTTCTCTCTGGTCTCCATTCCCCTCCAGTTGAAACCAGGAGTTTGGGCTGGTCCCTACCCACCTTCAGTTTCTACAGCACGGAGCTTCCCCTGCTCAGCACAGCCCCTCCTGCCGTGCGGGGTGGTCCCAGTCTCAGGTTGGATGCCAAAGGATACTGGAAGGGTCAATGGGGTCATTGGATGGGGACCTGGAGGGCAGTGCTAGGGCAGGAGGGGCCAGGGTTGCCCCCACAAATCTGGCTTCCAGGAAGTTGCATAACAGAGATGTTTATTTTTGGTGAGATTGGGTGGGATTTCTTCTCTTAATAAAAACCCTAAACATAAAACTTATTTGTCTTCCAGGAAGATAAATATCTTTGCTGAAAGCTCTTGGCGGGGCTGCCAGCTGTGGTTTGCACAGCGCTGTCACGGGGCCTGGAGGTCTGTGTGTGCTGGGCTCACGTGGGTCTCATAGGTGATGCCTGGGTGCTGGCTCTCCACCCCAGCATCATTGGCACTGTCTGTGGCTCTTAGAAATGGCCACCAAAGTTGCCTGCAGGCCCACTCTGGCCACTCACCTCCATGCCTTTCCTCAGTGCCTTATAAAGGGAGTTGAGGATGATGGAGGCAACATGTCCCTCTCAGCCTTCCAGCCTTAAGAGAGCCTCCAGTGTACACAAAAAGGGATGAGAGACAACCTGAAGCCTCAGCCTTCAGGCCCTGGACAGTCAGGAGACATTATCCTGACACCTAATGCCCTCTGCTTGGACCAGTTCCCAGAAGAAGAACCCGAGGGTCAGAACAGTTGGTGCTCACACCAACCATACATGCTTGTGTTGATCAGAGCTTGTGTGTCTAAAAGTCTTGTGAAATGCTCCCTACAAATCTTGTTAAATCTTCTACTTTAATATTATACATTATTTCACCACAAGAGTCAGAGACAAGGAAGGGAATGTGGCTCAGAGAGGGGCTCACACCTGTCTCCAGACCCGTCTTCCGCCCTTCCCTCGTGCTCCTGCACTCGGATGCTTTGGGGCCAGCCTGCCCGCTTGGGTGACTTCTCCAGGATCAGAGTTCTCTACTGCTCGTGACTGCAGAAGCACCCTCAACCAGCATGGCACTAAGGGCTTTATGTGTTGGCCTCTTTAGTCCCACAACTGCCCTATGATGAAGATCCTACCAGTATCTTCATCCCCATCTTACGAAGGGGAAACTGAGGCAGAAAGCAGTTAAGTGAGTTGTCCAACACACAGAGCTGGAGAGTCTTACATGTGGGATTCACACCCTGGTCCCTGGCTCCGGAGCCCGTGCTCTAACCTCTAGTCTGAGGCAAGTGGTCTGCCCAGGATGCTAACTGAGCTGTTTGGATGTGGACAAGTTACTTCCCACCCACCCTCCTACCCTGGCCTCCGCCTCCTCATCCTTGACCTACGTGGGTTGACTGGTCCTCTCCAGGTCTAAGGATATAGGAACCAGCTGGTGGAGCCCCATGCCATCAGATGGCAGGGTACCAGCTTTGTGTCAATCATTGGGGCCCACATGTCAGAGGGATGCAGGTGCCTGCCAGCTTCCTTAGGAAACACAGTCCTTGCCTGGAGGGAGCAGGACACTGCTTGGACAATAGGTGAGGGCAGTGTGGAGGGCAAGGGGATGTGACCACCTCATGCTGGATTCTTGGGTAGAGTTTCCCCTGTCCCTGCTGAACCCCAAACAGGACCTGGTAAGAAAAAGAGGGGCATTCCTGTTTGCCTCAGTGCTGAACCTCACCTCCTTGCCCCAGCCCACTTGGCCAGACATAGCTGCTGAAGGCATTTCCTCTGCTACCCTGGGAGTCCAAGGCACTGGGTCAACATTCTCTATGCCCAAAGATGTTCTAGCAAAGAGGGTCTTTGTAGAGGGAGGAGCCCAGGGTGAGTGGGGCAGGGATTAAAGGCCATAGAGGTCAGACTGACTCACCCAGAGTCACGTAGCATTGGTGTTGAAAGGGGCCCATTCTGAGATGATGGCAAAAAGGCTTAGACAGGGAAAGAGGCCCGCCCAAGGTCACACGGCATGCCAATGGCAAGGCGGGATTCGAACCTGGGCCTCCTGCCTCTTATCCAGTGAGACTCTGAGGCAAATGGCAGGAGATGGCTCTCCCCAGCCTCCCTCCTCTCTGACTTGGTTCAGCCATTGCTTTCTGATCTTGATTCCTACCCCCATCAGCCAAAGAGAGCTCGCTAGGTGAGCCAGAGCTACCGCCTGACTCTGACACCGTGGGGATGGACAGCAGCTACCTCAGTGCGAAGGAGGCTGGGGTGAAGGGGCCCCAGGACCGGGCCGGCGCTGACCTCCCCAGCCCCCTGGAGAAGGCCGACTCAGAGAGCAACAAAGGCAAGAAGCGGCGGAACCGCACCACCTTCACCAGCTACCAGCTGGAGGAACTGGAGAAGGTCTTCCAGAAGACCCACTATCCCGACGTGTACGCGCGGGAGCAGCTGGCAATGAGGACGGACCTCACCGAGGCCCGTGTACAGGTCAGTGAGGCCGCCTGGGGCGGGGCCGGGGGTTCAGGCCTGCCCTTGGGCTGGGGACTGGAGTGGGGACACCTGACTGCCCCTCAGCCACACCAGGGCTTTCTTCCCTTCAGTCTAGGGAGGCTTTCTTGAGAGGCCCCCAGCCTATCCCTCATATCCTTGCTCCAACCACAGCAAGACTGCTTTTATCCACTCTAATATTAGGCTTCTTGCTCTGGCTGGAGCAGGGTAGAAAGGAGGGCCCCCTGTGGAGGGGCAGGAAGCCTCTTAGCTGTATTTCTGGGCTCTCCCTGGTGTAAGAGTCCAGGCCCTTTTGTGAAGGACATGACTGGTCTCTGTTATGGAAGTCCAGTCTCTTAGGAAGGAAACAGGATAAATGTAAAGACCCAATGGACAGAGCATTCCAGCTCTTCTTTCTGCCTAGGATGGCTGCCCCCTCCATCTTCCAGGTCCCAATTCAGTACACCTCCTTCAAGAAGTCTTCCTGACCACCGTGGCTGAGGCAGTAGTCCCCTATCAACACCTAGCCACCCAGCACACCACAGCCCAACAGAGACCAGCACAGCTCAACCCAACACAGGCTGAGGCAACCAAGGCCAATGCAACGTCACACAGGCAAACCAGGGCACCCTCTACCGCACTGTCCTAGTTTATTTTTTTCCTAGAATATGACTGACTGAAATTATTTTATCTGTGTGTCTCCTGCTACTAGAAGGTGAGTCCCTGGAGGGCAGGTACTGTCCAATGCTCATCACTGTATTCTTATCAATTAGAGAAGGCTGAACTCAGAGCAACAAGGGCAAAAAATAAATATTTGTGGATCAATTAACCTCCTTTGTCTGGAGAGGTGTGTCCCCATTCCATTCATGAAATTACAGCAAAGAAATAACCATAAAGAAACCAAAGACCTCTGACTACCCAAAACACAGGTGAAGAACTCTATGCACTAAAGCTCAAACTTCAGCTTAACACAAAATAAATGCCCTGCTCAGACTGCTTTTCCAACCCAGAACATGCTAGAAATGGCAAGTAAGGTATCATCACAGAGCAGTTTCCTCCCTCCAGTGGGGCAGGGAAATCAACAGCTTGACAGCAAAGAGGAATTTTCTGTAAAATGGTATAACTCAGCTCAGCCCATCAGTCCTTTGAGTAGCAGAGCAAAGAGCCCTCATTACTCAGCAGACCCCAAGGGTGCTCCCTGTCCCATTAGTTCACTAAGGAGTCTTCAGTGGAATGTTTCTATGGTGTCATTAAAGGTTCCTGAGCCTCAATCATACTCTGTTTAATATGGCAGAGGCATTTGGAATAGAGTCCATCACATTTCATTTAAAATGGCTAATGTGAAAAAGAGCTGCCAGTGATCAGTATATCTGCAGTCACCTGGAAACTGCAGGAACTCGCAGCGATTCCAGACAGTCAGGTGGTTTAACCATAAACTCCCCAGGGCAGGTGCCTGCTGCCCCGGCGTATTCCTCTCCAGCACCTGGGGGTGTTTGGGGAAAGCAGGCAGGGCAGCCAAGTCTTTACTGTGACTCTGGAAGCCCTGTCACACCCACTCTCTCATTTGAGTCAGGACAACCAGCCCCACAGCCTCAATTGCCTCAGAATCTGGACTGGAACCCCAGAATCAGCCTCACTTAGCTGATGGGTTTGGAAGGAGCTAACAGAGTAGATGGAGAAAAGGGAGGCTGGTTATGGGGCATCCCTGCAGGTGCTGTGCTGGTGTGGCATAAACTGGTTCACTTTCTGTGCAAGTGTGTGTCCCTAACAAAGGGATGGGAGTGCCCAGGAGAGGAATTCACTTAGTATCAAAAGAAGGATGGCTCTTCCAGTACAAAACATGGACATGACATGTAGGCATGACTGTATGGCTAAAATGGAGTGTTCTCTACACACACACACACACACACACACACACACACACACACACACACGCATGCACACATTTATGCCTACTCTCAGAAAGAGTTGAGGCAGCTTACAATCAAAGATTTCTTATTTTCTTCTAAGAACATGAACAATGTCATGAAATGGGAAGGTAATAATGTCAAAAATCTAAGCTGAGGATAAGGTTGCCACTTGAGCACAAATTTCCTGGGCTTCCCCACAGCCAAGGCAGAAGGGGAATTATGTATCTTATCATATGTAAGGGGAGGGTCATAGAATTACAGAATTTTAGTGCTGGGAAGGATCCCCTGGTCTTCTCACTTGATATTGAGAAAGAAGAGGCCCAGAGGTGAGAAGCAATTACCTGTAACCAGGTGACTCAGGAGGAGCGACTTGGTGGCAGTGCTGAGACTAGAATCTGGGACTCCTGAGGTCCAACCCCAAATTCTTTGCCTTTAGTTTGCTGTATCAGGACATGAGCCAGACTGTTCTGAGTCTTTTCTTTGTATAAAGGCAGCAGGGTGGGTGGGATCTTCATGTGTGCCAGACCTCTGGGTTGAGCCTGGCCGTGCCCTGGGGCCTGGGGATCTGGTGATGAAACCCCTTGCCTGCTTCTGCTGAGTGTGTTCAGGGCCCTTCTCAGCTGGTGGGAGGTGATGTGCCCGGTATAAAGTGGTGGCAGGGACAGCGAGGGGGTGATGTGAGCCCTGAGATGGACCTTGGCTGGGAAGAAGCCTACGGTTTGGCCCTGCTCCAGGGGGCTGCAGGGGCCTCTTTCTGCCGTCTGGGATTCCGATCTCTGCAGCTGGTGTCTGAAGACAATAAGACAGAGGCCACCCCGCCCTGGTCCCAGATGGGCTGTGGTTAGTGAGGCCTCCTCCAAGACAGTTAGTTCCTTGGGGAGAGGACTGTGCTGAGTGGGCCCAGACTGGGGTGGGCTGGGAGTGGGGTGGTCCTGGGGCACGACATGCAGAATGGAAGGCTGGACTTCAGTCCCTGCTATTTTGGGGCTGCACAGAGGAGGCAGGCTGAGGGTCGGAGAGCCCAGGACACCAAGCATCTGCTGGGGCCTCTTGGAGCCCCAGACTTCAGGGTCAGAGGTGGAAGGATGCTCTGAGTGTCAGGGGCCTCAAACATGAGGACAGAAGGGGCCTGTGAGGATACCCCTGCCACTACCCAGTTTATGAGCGAGCAGACTGATGACCAGCAAGGCTCACATAGCCAAGCCTTGATCTGGGCAGAAAGGCTCCATCTTGCACACAGTGTAAGGTCCCAGGCACGAAGGAACTGGAGGGAGAGGAGGGGGAGTGGGCAGCTGTGCTCCCACTGGCCTGCCCCTCCACAGCCGCTGCCGCCTCCCACAGCCTCCATCTCAGGCCCTCAAATAAATCCCTCACAGCCTGACCCTCTTCCACACTCTTCCCAAAGACAGTGCTATCTCTGCGGCTTCTCCCCCCCACCCAACCCCCCGCCCCGGCTCATCTATCTTCCTAGATAACCCAGGCCTCCCCTCTCACAGCCGCCACCTCCCCAACACCCAGCCTAGGCCCCCACATTCCATCTCCCCAATCTGCTCCTCCCAGCTCCAGCCCCTTTCTCAGACAAGGCCTCCTGCTTCCCCAGGCTGCAACCCTCCAGCCCATCGGGAGCCTGTGTGACTGACCTCCACAAGCGTCCCTCCACCCCCACGTTCCCATGCAGGGACTCATGGGAAACTCCTGCAGTGGCCCAGCATGAGCCCTTCTCACCTCCCCACCCCCAGAGAAAGAAAGAAGGCATATATCTTGATGCCTCCAGTGGGATTCTTCCTGCACTCTCCACAGGCTTCCCCACAGAAAACCCTGGGAGGCTGAGGAAGGAGCGGAAAGACTGAGCTAAGCCTGCAGGAAATTAAACATGAAATGAAAACAAGCTCCTCTGATTCATTCTCTCATCCTGTCCCCAGTCCCCCATCCCAGGCCACTGATAAAGGGGGATCCCATTTCAGCAGCACAGAGAGAAGACCTCATCCACCCTGAGCTCCCAGCAGGCGGCCTCAGCCTGGCCCTCAGGAGCCCAGGAGGAGAAGAGCCATCAGGGGCCCCTGGGGCAGAGGCTGAGACCCCAAGCCTAGGAGAGGGCCCATCTCCGGGTAGGACACAGGGAGAGTGCTTCTCCTATTCCAGAGTCAAGACAGGGAAAGAGAGCGAGTCTGGAAGGGATGCAGGACCCACAATGTGCACATGTGCATGGGTGTGTGGACACTCATGTGCACGTGCATATGCATACTTGGGATTTGGGAGGGAAAGTGAGGTGCAGCCCCATGCGCCCTCCTCACTCTCTTCCTCTTCACACTAACCAGACACATACATACCTGGCTTTTTTTATTTTTTAATTCTTTAACGAAAGATAGCAAAAAAGGTCAGGAACTATAAATAAGTGTGAAATATTCCAAAATCTGTGACAACATCTATCTCCTGCCCTGAGGCACCAACTCTGTGAGGATGTTAGTAGATACTGGCCCCATTTTCCAGATGCAGAAACTGAGGCCATGGGCAATGCCAGTGCTAGAATGGGCACTCCATTCCCCAGCTACACTAGAAGCCCAAACAGGCTGAGCAGCCTCTGTGCTACCCATGGGGAGTCTGCCCATGCCTCAGCCCAGCTTCTCCCTCCTTCAAGGAAGCTGGGTGCTCTCGGTGGAGTGCTGGCTGCATGCTCTTTGAGGTGCACCCACTTGCCCCTGAGTCAGTTGGCAGGAGCACATCAGGCTGATAGAAATTTCCCTCCAGGGAAGGTCTGCCTTTGACTCAACCTGAAGCCATTTCTGGCCTGGAAGCCAGTCCCTCCTCATTGTCCTTCCCCTGGCCCTTCCTCGGATGCCCTCAGGGGCAGGGCTAGCAGACCGCAAGGTAAGCCCTTGCTTATGAGCCTTGGGAAAGTCCTGAGCCCACCAGAAAGGCCCAGGAAAAGACTAAAGGGCCCCACTCCACTCCCAGCACCAAAGATCCCAGCTTACACACCAGTCTCAGAGACCACCATCTTGTTGGTTCCCAGTCAACCCAACATCCAACCCAACACTCAGTGACACGGGGCCTCCACTCCTCCTCAGTACCAGGCTTCTCTTTTGCTTGAGTTTTTGCAGGGGCCATCTCTCTTAATGGCACCAAGTGCAAACCCCTCCACTTGGTATGCGAGGCCCTCCATAGTCAGACTCCAACTTCCAGGATTCTCTCTCTCCCATCGTCCCCCCCGCTGGGCAGCGTGGCCTGGACATCTTCTGAACATGTGTGGTGTTTCTACACTCGGGCCTGGACTTCCCTCCCTCCACCCGACACCGAGGCCCAGCCCCAACCCTGCCCAACGCCAAACCTCCTCTGACTGCCTCTGCTGCCCAGCTGAACCCCAGCTCTGCCACAGCACCTTTAACAAGGATTCTGAGCTGGGAGACTGTTACCAACAGGAAGGCTGCCAAGAGGATTCAGGAAGATAGAGATTCTAAGTCCGGGCCTTTAGACAGGCTCCAGGGAGCCATGGAGTTTTTGGAAAACTGTAGCAAAACTGTGTGTATGATCTCTAGGAGATAACTTCTGGAGAAGTGTTCATGGCTTTTATCAGGTTCCCCAGAAGGAGTCTGTGGCCCACAGCAGAGTAGGTCACACCTATGCTGGATGGGTTAGATGATCGCTAAGCAGAACATCAGTGACATGTTTTGTGTATGTGACACTTTGCTTTAGATTCTGAAACTTAGAAAGATGAAGTTGCTGGCCCAAGACCAAGCATGTGGCCAGCTATCGGCCATTCTAGATTGTAAGGTCTTGAGGATGAAGATGAGGCAGATGGTCCTCTGTAGCCCCAGGGCACATCCCCACCCTGCAAGCACTGCGGTGGGTGGGGCTCAAGGAAGCGGCCAGCACTGCCTGAGGGCAAGACCTCAGCCCTGGACCTGAGCTGGGATAACTGCTTTGTCCTGCAGGTCTGGTTCCAGAACCGGAGGGCCAAGTGGAGGAAGAGGGAGCGCTTTGGGCAGATGCAGCAGGTTCGAACCCACTTCTCCACCGCCTACGAGCTGCCCCTCCTCACCCGAGCTGAGAACTATGCCCAGGTGAGTCCCTGCCCAAGCCCCTGCTCTGGTGCCCTGCCCCGCATGCTTGAGAATGGGCACCTTCGCAGGAGCTGGGATGCATGACCCCGAGGTGCCCTGCAGGCCCGTTCCAGGTGTGCGCCTGTTTATACCAGACGGCAGGAGGCCCAGAGCCATTTCTGTCCCACAGAAGTGCTGACTCAGGCTTGGCTGGATTTTAGGCAGGGGCACGGAGGGGCCATGGGAGTGTCTTCTTCCTCTGGAGGCCAGGCCATCAGGAACACTCAGGTGTCTCCTAAGAAATGAAATCCTAAAATCTGGAGGACTTGAGGCAAGGCTAGAATGAACATGGGATTGATTCTGCATCCCAAGACTTGGCCGTCTTCCCAGCTCCAGACCTCTCTCACTTGATGCAGGTCACAAACTCTTGGAACCTGGGCTTCACATATAACTGGACGTTGTAAAAGCACCCACCCCTCTCCTTTGTGAGGCTGTTGAAAGGTCTATGCTAGATAATGCAAAAGTACTTTGCCTTACATTTCCAAAAAGGTCACTGTGTGCTCCCAGCCCTGCCAGGAGTCTGTGTCCCATCTTGTCTGCCATCCCCCACAGCAGCTTCCTAGACAACTGTCAGCCCATCCCCTGTTCTAGTGGCCTGTGCGTCTTCAGTGAGTTGCAAAGGGACAAGAAATGATATGAGTAGTGTCAGTAATTTGGAGCGATATATGCCTGGTGGGGTCCATTCCAGACAGCCCTCCATGTGCCTGGCAGAGGTGGCTGTTTTCTCACCCTCAGGCCTTGCTGTGGCGTGGCTGCCCACCTGCAGCTCCAAGCCTGGCTCTGTCCAGCAGAAAGCCAGTGGCGCAGGCCCCCTAAGTCTCCTTTACTTCTAGCTGTCCCACAGTGGAGCTAGCACATGGTCCCCATTCAGACCAGCTCTTCCAGGATTCATGCAGAAGGGGTCAGGGGTCAGGCCTGGGGTGAGGCTGAGGAATGAGGGGCGGGGGTCTCATACACACATACCATCTGCATCAGCTCCTGCTACATTCTTGCACCCTTCATCCTTCTATCCCTCCCCAAACCCAGCCTCCTTGTCCCCAGGAGGATGGACCTCCAGCCTGGCTCCTTGTGCTTGATCTCTGCTGCCTGAGCCCACTCACTGGAGGGAGAAACACAACACAGGACCATGCTCATCCCTCTTATCTGTAGCATCACATATCACATGCCCCAGAAATCTTAAAAAGAGGTGGGGAAAGGCCAACGGAGTCCCCATCACCCAAACCAGAACCAGACCAGCACCAGCGGGAGAGATGTGGCCAGGCTAGTCTGTCGACCCTTCCTGCTGCTGACAATGCCCTGTGCGCTATGGGGCCAGAGTTCCCTCCTCACTCTGCTTTTAAATGCCTCAAAGTTTGTCCTGCTCACCTCACCTCTCCACACCCAGGTCAGCCTCTAGGTCAACTCCACCACTACCTGAGCATTCTACACAGACACACACACACACACACACACACACACACAAACACACACACACACACACACACACACACACACACACACTGGGCACCCAGCCTGGCTCCATCCATCCATGGGCACTCATCACCTCCTGAGGCAGCCCCTCCCGCCTCTTCTGAAGTTAATTCTGAAGCCTCTTGGGCACTGCGCCCTGGAACCTTGGCCTCTGATCTTGGCTTCTGGGAGATTTAGGCACCCACTGCCAACCCCTCCACACCACAGCCGACTCGTCCAGAGCCCATGTTCCTAGCACCAACATAATTTGCTCTGAATGTGGGTTAGCTCCCATTTCTCAGACACCTTGCGTGCACCAGGCCTGGCGAGGAGCCAGAGGTAAGACACAGTCACTGACCTAAGGATGGAGAGGGAAAGTCTGCAACTGTATCTCCAGCCAGAAGTCGGCCAGAGGAGGAAGGCGCTGCCCCCAGCTGGTCAGATGCACCCTCAGGGCAGCTGTTGTATTGGACCCTTAAGGAAGTTTGAACTTCAGTCCTTAAAACAGAAATTCTATATGCTGCTAGCCTCTCCACGAGAACACAAGAGCCAAAGCATAAAATCTAAACCCTAATAGGGGTCTGGATGGCCATAACGATTTTGAGAGGCCCCCAAGTAAATACTCAAGAATGGTTCCATCATAATGATGAGAGGCCATCCAGAGGGTGAGGAAAAGCCCCACATGTACTCCTTCTGCCTCCCACCCCAGTGACGTCTCTCCCTTCCCTCTCCCCAGATTCAGAACCCATCCTGGATCGGCAACAATGGGGCTGCTTCACCAGTGCCAGCCTGTGTGGTTCCCTGTGACCCCGTGCCTGCCTGCATGTCCCCTCATACCCATCCCCCTGGCTCTGGGGCCAGCGGCGTCACCGACTTCCTGAGTGTCTCTGGGGCTGGCAGTCATGTGGGCCAGACGCACATGGGCAGCCTGTTTGGAGCGGCGGGCCTTAGCCCTGGCCTCAATGGCTACGAGCTCAATGGTGAGCCGGACCGCAAGACCTCGAGCATTGCGGCCCTCCGCATGAAGGCCAAGGAGCACAGTGCAGCCATCTCCTGGGCCACATGACAGGGCCCCTCAGACCCATCCCCAAGCCCTCCCCCGCCTTGGGGCGCTGGCCACGTCCATGCTTTCCAGGCCCCCCAGCCTCCCACTTGGCTTTCCTCTTGGGAATCTGACCTGGGCCAGGGGTCTGACCCTCAGCACTTTCAGTTACCCCAAGTCTGAGACCCCATGGACTGCTGGAAGGGAGGGGGCAACAGGCTTCTGTCTTTCCCTGGCACTGAGGCCAACACCCCTGGTCCTGGCTAGAGGCAATGGAGGAAGTTAGATGGCCAAATTTTGCAGCTTTGCATCCATTATAAGCTGAAGACCCCTTTTCTCCACCCCTGCTCCTCCACCCTGCCAGGTTTGTCTGTTGAGTCAAGGACAGTTTCCCATCCAGACCCAGCAAGGGCACCAGGAAAGTCATGTCCGTCCTTCCCTCTATTCTGGGTCTCCTGGTCACCAGGCCGATGACTGTCTGAAGAACAGGCTACCCTGCAGAGTGGCCTCCTGCCCTTCCATTTCCTTTTCTCTTACTAAAAGCCTAGGGAATCCAACCTCCTGTACCCAAGGCACTGGCCTCACCTTCACCCTGATTGGCAAGGAGCCCCCATCCCGCCTGTCCCTTGTGCTAGACACACCTGGGGGGAGTAGGCCAAGAAGAGGAGCTGGAGCAGAAGAATCCTGGCCTAGGGGGATGGACAGTCCCCAGGGGACATGTTCTAATTCCCTCGGACTCTGGAGACTGAACCTAGGTGAATGCTGCAGGAGGAGGCTGCCGACCACCCCAGTGCCCACACGCTGGAAGAAGAAAAGCTTCTGGAGAGAGGAAGGACTGCAGGGAGGTGTGTGGGGCGGGGCAGGGGCCCGTGCACACATCTCCACTCCACAGCCTGCCTGACATCCCGCTGCTGACAGGGAGCCCGTTACGGTGGATCCAGGAGGATCTGGAGGCCCTTTTCCCTTTCCCTGCCCCATTCTGGTCACTTGCTGGGACTGCTGAGCAGTGTCCTGGCATGGAAGGACTTACCCCTTGGAACCCACAAGCTAGGGCCTGAGGTCACAGCAGAGGGTCAAGAGCAGCATGCAGGCTTTGCTAGAGAACACCTGTCCATGTTCAGCCCCCGGACAGGTAGGTCAGCCCTTACACTGCCTAGACTGCTGCTCCCTCCATACCTGCCAGCGCTTTCCACGGTGGGCCTGCAGGCATGAGGCAGAGAGAGCTTGTCCTTGCACTTCTTTCCTAGGGGATTGGAATTCAGAAATCTCAGCTTTTCTCTCCAGCCTCTGGAAGGGCTCTCGGGCTGAGCTCCTCTGGGTCATCTGCTTTGTTCCAGGTGTGGCAGACAGGATGCTCTCCAGAAGCAGTTTCCCTGCATGCACAAAGGGGCCTCTCTCTTGGGAGGGGGGGCTCCACTCCTGTCTAACTTGAGACCTGAAACTTGAGTTTTGGCACCAGGTCCCAGCCATCACCTAAGCTTGTGGTACACAGTACCAGTCCTCCAAGGCAGGCCTTTCAGAGCCCCAGGAGGGCCCTCCAGCAGGTACCCCTGGGGAGAAGTACTCGCCTTCTCAACTTCCTATCTTGATTGTGTCAGGAGGGCCAGTCCAGCAGGCTCAGGTCCTGGACACAGGATAGCCTCTTGGATTGGATGGAGAGGAATGAGATCCTCTGCCTTTGAGGTGCTGGAGGTGTAGAGGAATTACAGCTTCCACCTCTGCCTCATGTTCCCATATGCTCTGGAAACAAGACCAGGGAAGGATCTGGCTTTGGCCTTCCTTGATAAGAGTCAGACCTCTCTGTGAACCATAGCTCTAAAATTGATCTTCTGGAAGTGAAAAACATCTTGGACATTGAATTAAATGTTCTTGAAGGCTTGGCTTTAAATGTCTCAAATACTTGAGGGTCTTGGAATGACTCCTGAATGCCTTTTCCAGTTCTGAGGTTCGCTGAAATAACTCAGACTCCCCAGAATCTAGGAAGGGAAAGGAAGCAAGAGCTTGAGGCTGGGCACGGTCTCACTCAAGTGCTCTAGTGGCTGGGATGGTATAGGAGGAACTTCCACCAGAGGTTGTCCTCACCTGGGCAAGAGTCAGTATTGAGAGAGAGACAGGACAGTCCCAGAGGAGGTGGGGAGGGGGAAGGGGCTCAAGCAGATTCTTCTGAAAGGGGCCCTGGCACAGATTTCCTTTCCAGCTGGGCAAGACCTAAGTGGGGCAAATTTCAACAAAAAGCTTGAGGAGAAAGGCCTCTAACAGAAGGCTCTGTAGCTCTGGCTGCCTGTTCCACAAACACAGACAGTATTTATGATTAAAATGTCAGTGTAAAATGTCTGTATTCGTGTCCCCAAAGACAGCTACCTACCCCTAGGCCTGTCCTCACCCTGTCCCAGCACCCCAGGCTTGCCCAGCACTTTGAGAATCCCAGAATCCTGGGGCTGGGAGGGAGCTTAGAGACCCTCTAGTCAGTCCACTCTCTCCACACAGAGGTGAGAAGACCCCTGCCTGAGTGGCCAAGTGGCTGCCACGAGCTGGGTTTCACATGAGGCAAAGCTGTGAGGAGCCTGGAACTCGGCACCCAGGCTGTGGTGGGCCGGCCCTGGCTGGCACTGGGGCACCGTGCCATGCGGAGCTGCCCCGGTGCCTGGCATCCTCAGCAGCTGGGTGCTCTGCTGGAGCTCCTTCCCCTCTTCAGCTTTCTCTCTGGGTCCTTCCCAGCCCAGTGGCCAGGCCCAGGCCTTCTGTTCCCGATGGTGGGAAGCATCCCCCCAGCAGCTCCCATGAGGACTAAGCATGCTTAGGTGACTGTCCAAGCTGGCTGGTCTCAGGAAGGCAGACAAGAGGGGACTCCACCTCCTCTGTGGAGCACTGCTCAGCAAATAAGCTGAAAGAGGTGAGGATTTCCTTTGACTCTTGGCCTAAGATCTCATCAGAGACGTCACTGTAAACCTGACAGGACGGGCAGTTCGCAGATCACGGGGCAGCCTTCCCAACACTGGGAGCCTCTGATCCCTGCTGGGAATGAGTCTCAGTGGCCAAGGATTGACACTAAGGCGCTGCTGCCAACCCCAGGTGCCATCGCTACTGGGCTCTGGGGACACACAGCGACTTGTCCCCAAGTCTTCAATGGCACTTGGAGGACACGGGCTTTGAAACTTCCCTTGAATTCTTCCAACTATACTTGATTCCCTAGGAGGGAGCTTAAAGACCCTCTAGTCAGTCCAGTCCCTCCACACAGAGGTTAAGAAGACCCCTGCCTGCATGGAGAAGTGGCCATCTCTTACTGCTGTGCCTCCAGCTGTGGGAAGCATGGCAGCCAGGTTAGTTCAGACATCAAGGGGTTGGGGGGCAGCAGTCATATGGGGGCCCCCAGCATACATTGCTGTGGCCACACTGGGACCCGCTCCAGGGCCACATCTGCCCTCCTTTCATCTGAGTAGATGGGAGGAATGTTTCCATGGAACCACCACGTAGCATGCCTGCTCCCACAGCCATCCTCTCCCTGGGCAGGACGCTCTGGGGCTTCTGGTCTGCCGGAGGGCCCTGACTGGCAGGTGCAAAGGCAAATGGGCCTAGCTGGGGGAGGATGGTTGGTCAACTGAGCCCCGGGATTATGATCTGTGACGACAAAAGAGAAAAATGATGAAGACAACAAAACTGTACCTCCGAAGGTACTTCAGTAAGGATGCTGTAGGGAGGTAAGGTACCCCAGTGAACAAAACATCACCTGATCTTGTCCTCTCCTTCCTTCCCCCGTCACTTACACACGTAGAGCTAGGCCTTTATACTACTGATTTTGAAGGACAGTTGTCAGTGTCAAATATTCTGTTTGGGTGTGCAGTGGTTGAGTGGAGTGCTAGAAAGAACATGAACCTCAACCAATACTGACTGTTCTCACTGTAAGATATTTTAACCTGTATAAACGCAACTTTTCCTTTAGCTTAATGGCCTGGGGTGGAATTTTAAAAATATATATTAAAATACATTAAAAATTCAGAAAAGTGTATAAAAAAATGAGGTCGGTTCCATAAAGTTTTACTGCCTATACCACCATGTAACTACATTATAGCAAAATATTAAAAGAAACGTTCTTGCCTTCTAAAGTAAGTTATTGCACTTACATCTTTTTGGCGAGGGGAGGAATATCGAGGAGAAGGGGACCTGGGGGCCTAGGCATGGGGCCAAGTGGAGAGTGGAAGCTGCTGGACGCTCCCAGAGCACACCCTTCAAGGGGCCCGGCCCCAACTGTCTGTTTGGTTGTTGTTTGCAATAAACTCCTTCTCCTTCCTCCTCTCAACTGGAACCTGTCTGTTTTGTTCCTGACTTGTGACAGATGAAATGTGATCAGAGGGGCCTCTGAAATCTCACATTAATTGAAGTCGGCAAAAAATACTAACAGTGCCCTTTTGAACTGCTGACACAGTACAGAATGGATTACCAGGGCTAGATTAACAACAGGTGGCCAGCCAGGGCTCCTGCACAAAGAGGGGGTGCATGGCCTGCAATGGGCTGGGATAGCCCCCCTTATCCCAGAGGACCTGCCTGCACAGCGGGCAAGCTGGGGGAAAGATGGGGGTACCAGAGTCCACTTTTCAGGCAGCAAAAAGGGTCACAGCAGCTCTTCTGGCTCCTGCATCTTGGGTGCGCTCAGCACAGCCCGTGCCTCCAGGTCTTCACTGTGGGAATGGCCAGGCCCTCCTTGTCACTGAACACCAGTCTGTGCTTCCTTGGGTTGTTCCAAAAGCAAGGGTCAGCTAGGACATGGAGGTCCTGGGCAGGGAGGCCTGACTGCTTGGCACCAAGCACAGGATGAGCCTCCAAGAGAGGCAGGCCCAGTCCTGCCTCTGCTACTTAATTGACCAAGGGAGCTTACAAGAGGTATAACCACATAGCCTTTAAAGCAAAACTCTAAAGCAAATCATGAAGCAGGGACGGGCCCAGGTTCTGCTACAGAATAGGTGCTTCTTGGCTTTCCAGCATGAGGGTAACTCATGGAAGAGGCAGTCAGCCTCCATGGGACCACTGTGTGGGGTGGGGAGTCATCTTCATCTACTGAATCACCTGTTGCTCAGTTCACATAAGGGGAGTAAAGCCTGTCCCTGGCTAGTTTAACAACTTGGGGGGAAGATTATATGGATAGCATACATGCACGGGCTTTTGTAAGCTGATGTGACACAATGGACAAAATAAAAGATGATGATTATTCCCAAAAGAAAGATATCTTCCTCCAGCTACCAGCTGTGGGTCTGATAAGAATCTCCTTTCATCCGCTCTTGCCAATTCTTCAAATGTTGCTTTCCTGGAGCCACATCTCAGATTTGGTACCAATGAGGCGGTAAGTTCAATTCAGTATAGGCCCAGCTGGGTTTTAGGTTGTCCTGGGCTGGGTACTAGTGTTTTAAAATGACCCCTCTCACTTGATAATATAGGTGAATGTTGAAACCACAATGTTATTCACGTGAAACCGTCATAAGATTGGACATCAATGATACTTTAATTTTTAAAAAATGACCCCTCTCATCTCTTAGGGCTTGGGATCATGGTAGCACCTGATTCCCCATTCCAAGACACTGCCAAGTCCCCGGTCAGGAGCCAAAGAGGAGAGGAGGAAACACCTTGTGCATGGGCTGCTGTCTGCCCTGTCCCCCTGCTCTTGTCTGTGGGATCTGAGCAACCCCAATGCCCCCAAGTCCAGATGAGTGCTACTGCCAGACTGGAGGAGGGCTTGATAAGGTCCTGTAGGCCTCCATGGTGACTCAGCCTCAAGCAGAGTCTCTGGGAGGACAAGGCCAGCTGGGCTTCCTCAAATACTGACGGTGGCTCAGCCCATCAGTGGTGGCCAGGACCACTCATCACTTCTTAAACCATCTTGAGTCTTCCACTTGATCACATTACTGGACTTGCCATCTGTCTGCTTAGAATGCCTGTACCCACTTGCTTGCCCCCTGCAACAGGAGAACTGTTCATTTTCTGAGGCTTCTTCCAAATGACAACGTCCTTGCTAAGTTCTTGCTTGACTCCATGCCCCTTCCCCAGCTTCACCCCCTGGTCAATTGCTGCCCCTTCTGTGTCTCACAGAACTGTTCATAATATTATGTCAGCACATAATACTATCTAAGTTACCTGTTTACCTGCCTGACTGCCCTACATGCCTAAAAGGCCCCAGGAGGAGATGGGCTGGTTCTGTTCACACCTACATGCCTCAGAAAATAAGTGCTCACTTGAGTAACTGAGTGAATGAATGGGAAGGTGGGAATGGGGAGGTGCTTTTCGGTTCAGGATGCTAAGAGGAAGGTCAGAGAGGACTCAGGGATTCATGTTAGAGAAAGCCAGAAGCTGGCTCAGGCCAGTAGAGATCCCCTAGCAGTAAGCTTGGAGCCTCTGCTTGGCCGTGGACCCTGCCCACCCTGTTCCTCCAGGGCTGTGTGCATCCGTGACTGGCCATGTCAGGACAGGAAGATCACTTCCAGCACATAGCCAGATCCCCAAGAGGACCCGAGAGGCCTTGTGTCTGAGATACTCATCTCAGAGCTTTTCCACTTTGTCTTGGGTTCCAACCCTGCTTTCTGCCTCAATGACCCTGCATAGTCCTCATGCCCCTAAGCCCTCCACACACACACCCCAACTCAGGGGCCATTTGCAGATAGCTGCTTTCCAGCCCCAGCAGAAACCTTCAGTTTCTCACCAACCCCATTGTCTCAGGTCTTGCTACAAGGAAGAGTAGCCCCTGAGCTGGCTGGGGCATTCATCAGCAACCCTCCCTGGGGCTGGTGGGGAGCGGGTGCTCAGTAGTGGCAGTCCTTTTCCTACAGGCCCACCTGGGCACACTCAGAAGCTAAGGGACAGCAGGCTCCCACCACAGCCAGCTCCCTAAGATGGGGCTGACTGCAAACTGTCAGTGTGCTCAGAAGTAAGAAGATGCATGCTAGCTCCAAAGACAATGGATGAGAGAGCTGATATTTTCCCAGGAATTCTGTGATTCCAAACAGAGGTTTTTTTTAGCTCAACACAGACCAACAGGCTTGAGGAAGGGCAAACTTCCGAAAGGAGCTTCATTGTATGACCATGTGCACACCATGTGTTAAGGTGTTGCTTTAACTAGCTGGGAACAAATCCACTGTGGGGCCT